CCCTGGCCTAACCAAAAGATGAAAGTCTGTCTTCTACGTGCAGACAAGTAGATCTGGGCATTCTTAGGCATGAGTGTCCACGTGCAATTGATTTTTCACCTTTATCCTGGCCTCACACAACACTGTTTGGGAACGTAGTCACTGTATTCCTCATAACTCAACCATTAGACATTTCTTCACGGCAAACTGGGTCTTAAAGCACATATCAATTATCACACGGGCAATTTGCACCCTTCCTCAGACCTTCTTGAAATTTCATTCACTTTTCCAACTGGGTTGGAAGGTCAAACTGGCACTGGCAACCAAGAGGTCTTTATGGGTGTGACTTACCTCCACTGACCCACAGTCACACTCTTCTCCTGCATCTACAAGCTTGTTGCCACAGTAGGGGATGCTGTAGGTTTCACCAGGCCTGGGAAGGTTGAGGAGGCAGCTTCCGCCCTTGTTCAGGGTTAGTTTTTCGAAGTCTTCCTCACTGCAGGTGCTGAAATTCCTGGCACCGCTACGAAGAGGGGGACATTCCAAAAGCTTTTCAATTAAGCATGTCGGTAAACAGAATGGCGTTCTGGATTTTGTCTGAAGTAAATTACTATCCGTTTATAACCACACGCAGTGCCGCTGGCAAAGAGTAGTTATTGCATCATTGTTAGTTATTTTCTTACTAGCCAAAAAGCAGATCACATCCTGGGAGTTGAAGTCCACAAGTCTTAAAGTTGTCAAGGTTGAGGACCTCTGCTCTACTTCCCTCCTCTACCTTTTGGGAGACAAAATTGTCTGCTAGGTTCATAAGGAATCTGTTTGACTTGTGGACTTCAATTCCCAGGAATCTGTTTGATCGTCCGCTAGGTGTCAACAGGCCTTGGGAAAATGGAATCGGGAGTTACTTACGACGCTCCAGAGTTCATAATACAGTTGCCTGTTTCACAGCGACAGTTCCTGTCGTCGTCGTGGTTCATGCCCAGGTTGTGGCCAAGTTCGTGAGCGACGATGGACGCAAACGCCTGCACGCTGTTGGGTCCAAACTACAAAACATCACAGGAGCAAAGAAGACGGCATGGATTCCTTTGTCGGGAGACTCTTACGCCCACAGTACTAGGCGAGACGTCGTGGGGTTCAAGCTGTTTCCTAGCTGCTGCAACATGGGCAGCCAGTTTAGAAAAAGGGAAGGCTTTGAGTTGAGCATTGGGAAAAGGCCAAAGCGGTTCCTATTTGCAATCTGCAGAATTTATATCCCTGACTTGTGGAAAGGAAAAAGAGTCATCGCTCTTGTTTTGTTCTCATCAAGTTCTCAGGACAACACAAAGTGGGTTGCCTGTCCCACTCCCTTGCTTTTGGAGAATTGACTACTGTAAGAACATTTCTGTCCAGTTGAAGACCACACTTGGTCTTTGAGAAGCACACCACAGGGACTTTCCACAGGAGCCTGAAAACCTGGCTCTGCCAGAGGGTCTGGCACCCTAAGAGAGGAGGTGGTTGATGAATTAAGAGGCAATCCCACCTCCCCTCCGCGCATCCTGTTCCCTCCCTCCTCATCTTTTAATTATAATTTTATCTGGATTGGGACTTCTATTTTTATTGTTTTAGAGACATTTCCTTGTTTCCTTCTGGGAGGAGGGGGGCTCCGTGGTATCCGTAGCAGAACATCCAGATTCAGCCAGAGTTTCATTCCATATAGCATTAACCTTGCAAACTCTCAAGCTTCCTCCTTCCGTTATGTATTCAAGATGGACAGTGATTCATATTTATTTGCTATGTATATGGAGGGGTGTGGGTCTATACATATGTTGTACATAGCATGTTTAGGTGTGCGTCATGTATGTGTTTCACTTTGAGAGCGGGCAACTAAATTTCATTTTTGATGTCTGCCGTTGTGCCCACAGTAAAAAAATGACAATAAAGGTTATCTTATCTTATCTTATCTTATCATCTTATCTTATCTTGTTACAACTTTCATGTTTTCTGCTGTAAGCCACCCAGAGTCATTTCGTTATAAGAGGCACGGCACATGAATTTAATAGTAAATAATACTAAATAAATTTCACATGTTTACAGATCTGCACACCGCGCTGCCAAAATCCAAGAGGAGAGTTTGAATCTAAACCACCCCAAATGCAGACAGCCCTGGACTTACAACCATTCAAAGTCACAACGGCACTGTTAAAAGGACCATTTTTTCACACTTATAACCGTTGCAGCATCCCCGTGGTCCTGTGATCAAGATCCAGATGCTTGGCAACCGACTCATACTTATGACGGTTGCAGTGTCCCGGGGTCATGTGATCCCCTTCTGAGAAGCAACATCAATGGGGAAGCCAGATCCACTAACAACCGTGTTACTCATTTAACAACTGCAGCGATTCACTTAACAACTGTGGCAAGAAAGATTGTAAAATGGGGGGGAAACTCACTTAACAAGTGTCTCACTTAGCAACATAAATTTTGGACTCAATAGTGGTTGTAAGCCGAAGACAAACTCTACTGCACTTTCTGTCACCGTCGTAAAAGATGCAATTTTATTTTTTTAACTTAAGTGAGGTGCAGTTAATGGCAGCTTACCACATTAATGCCTCCAGCGTGACTTTTGGAGCACACGGTCCCCACATAAGCCATCCCAGCTGTGCCACCAAAATCCTTCCTCCTGTAATGGAGAGGGAAATAATCCACGTTCGTTAATGACGATTAAGCATTAAGAATTAATTTTGTCTGACGGTAAACTACCATCCGTTCGTATCCACACGCAGTACTGCTGGCAAACGGTAGTTATTGCATCATTGTTAGTTATTTTCTTACGTGCCAAAAAGCAGATCACATCCTGGGAGTTGAAGTCCACAAGTCTTAAAGTTGCCAAGGTTGAGGACCTCTGCTCTACTTCCCTCCTCTACCTTTTGGGAGACAAAATTGTCTGCTAGGTTCATAAGGAATCTGTCTGACCCGTGGACTTCAATTCCCAGGAATCTGTTTGATCTTCCACTGGGTGTCAAAAGGCCTTTGGAAAATGGACTTGGGAGTTACTTACGATGCTCCAGAGTTCACAATACAGTTGCCTGTTTCACAGCAACAGTTCCTATCGTCATCATGGTTCATGCCCAGGTTGCGGCCAGGTTCATGAGCGACAATGGACGCAAACCAAAAGAAGAATGAGGATTTGGTTTGCCACCTGAGATGTTAGCGGGGGGTAGGGAGGGCGAAAACATTCTC